TACTAACAGTAGCAACAACTAAAATGGATTGTACATGTAACTTGAAGTGAAAATAATGACATAATCAAGATGTTAATATTCAATACTACATCAAATAGATGAGAGGGATTTCTTTCCAAACTCCTATCAATACTGAAAAAAGTGATAAAAGCTACTGGATTTGAGAAACCTGTTTTCCTAAAATGTGTTTTTAAAGGAAGATCTGATAAATTTCAACCAAAAATAGTATTAGCTGTTTGGTCAATGAATGCCAAATGTTTCTTTGTAGAGGAACAGTTAATAATACCATTATCATTTAACAATTATGTAGAGAAGACATTTATGTGTAGAAAAATTCCATCAGATGTGATTTTTACTAAAGATGTTCTTTCTAAGCAGAGTTTTTATTTTTTTTCTTTCTCCAGGTAAGAGTCTTATTAAGCTGTTTCATAAAGTTACAGAAACAACAATGAAAGAAAAATGTGCTATTCTATTTATAACATACATTGAAATATCTCAGACAATGGATAGATAGAATTATTTTTCTGTCTTCTCTTCTAATGCTATGCTAGAAAATGTCTGATGATGCAAAAGAAGTCAATTGTAAGCCTAGATGTCAAAACAATATTCATGTATCATTTCATTGTACACAATATGCCTAGACCAAACTATTATTAATCAATTTTCTAGCTCTTTTTTTTTATTTATTGTTCTGATGGTTCATGACATTTTAGAAAATAAAGCTACCTTGACATCCAATGTGTATTTACAACCAATCAATGGTGTGAGACATCATTTTTTTATCCATCTGACATATCTCTGATTTAGCACCAATAAGAATAATCAGATCATGTCAGAACTAAAATAAATATGTCAACATCCAATACAAGCATTACCGATTTCTGCATGTATTAAAACTTAGTCTGACACAAGAGCAGTACAATAGGACATTTGGTATGAATCAAACTTATTACACTAGTCTGTAAGATAAATTTTCTATTACTTTATAGTGGTACTCCAGCTTATATTAGTGTCCATACCTGTCCCCATCTATACAAATGATGGTTCATGTACAACTTTCTCTTTTATATATATATATATAAAGAAATAAAAAACAAGGCAATTGTCAGATTTCTTTAATATCTTAAAACCCCTAACAAAACCTTGGAAGCTCAGTTTTCTGTCTTCTCTACGACTTTGGTTAATGTCTGAAAGAACTTCTTGTATCTTCTTTCATGTACAGAATATTGAACTTGCAAGAATACCCCACTAATCTCTTAAGAGTTTTAAAATTTAAGCTACCATTACTTATAGTGTGTGTATGTAAATTACTTTCAGATAGAGTGTATCTGTAAACGAACGAAATGAATAAAAAGAGACAAGCAAAACTATTCTGAGCCAATGTGTTTCATTCTCTAAGGAACTTTATCAAGGTAATATAGGATTTATTTTGTTACACGTATTTATATATAAAATACAAAAGCAAGGAGGTCATTGGTTTATCAAGGCTTTTAAATTTGAGAATGTTCATGAATGTTCATCTTGTGGTTGAAAGATCAACCAAAAATAATTTAAAGTCTGGCAAAAAGTGAGTAATATTCAAGAAATCTTTTATATATTTAAAAATTTAAAAGCCTTGATAAACAATTGGCATCCTAGTTTTTTTACATAAACACGTGCAACAAAAATCTTGTATTGCCTTGATAAAGTCCCTCAGAGGATAAAATGTATTGTCTAAGAATAGTTTTTCCTCTTGTCTCTTTTTATTCATATATATCTCAAAATAACTTTGTTATGAGTTTAGCTATTGTCACAGAGTTTAGTTATACTATTTCTAAGAAACAAACTTCAAGAGTAATATACAAAGGGCTGCCAAAAAGTCCTTGGCTCAATCCACTTTTAAAAGGTGACAAAATGACCAAACACGTTTTGGGGGGAGGGGAGGGAGCTTCTTGGATGGGCAAAGAAATTTTCAGCACCTTCTTGTATAACTGAAAAATTAAGATTAACTTTTATATTAATTAATCATTGGGTTTAACAGTTTTATGAAATAATGAACTTTTCACAAATATTGTAATTAGCTAATTAAGGAATTACATGCAGGGATTTTTTTTAAAATATCAAATGGCTCAAATTTTTAATTATGGCTATTATTAATTTATGAACTGTTGAGATAAATTCATGATATTTGTGTTCTGAACGATTATCCAATTGAATATATTCAGACTTGTGTTTTTTAAATGTACTAATATGCAAGTATTTAGTCTTATTGATTGCTAAATGTATGAATCTGTTTTGAAATGTTCAAATAATAAAAAGCATAACACAAATTAATTTATCATGATTAGGAATTAAAGTTTCACGTGTGATTGTAATCACTTGTAAAATACAAAAAGGAAATTTTAAGAAGTAAATAATAAAATATTAAAAAGGCAAAATTAAATTTTCTTAAATAATATTTTTATATGATTTTATTTCTATAGATTTAACTTTGAGGAACTTATTAAAAATAAAATAAAATTAAAATGTATGTGTAATTAAAACTGTATTTATATTAATCTTAAATGTAAAAATATATATCCATATGAAAAAAAGAAAACAAAAAAACAAGCACAAAAAATTGCTTTTTAATATTTGTCTGTTGTTTTGGGCCCAAAGCAATTAATTTGTTAAATATTGGGATGAATTCAATGTGAGCACACCACAAACTAAAACTGGGTAACCAAAAACTTGAGATTGAACTCAAGAAATTGGTAGTCAAAAATTGGCTATTATGACTTTTTTCTGTTTTAATTAATGAAATCTTTATCAGATTGCTAAAGTGATTCCACATTTTCTAAATATTTTAAAAGAAAAAACCAAAAGAATATATTTAACAACTGCAGATATTAACAGAAAAGATAATTAAGTATAACTTTTACTGAAGAAAATTTACTAATTTAAAAATAATACTTTTAGAGCAGAATAAATTACATGAAGATGTGAAGTGAATATATAGCTTTTTTATTATTCTGAATTATTTAAAATATTTGACTTCATAACACATGATCTTTTTAATCTGAAAAAAGTTATTACTAGAGATTGATATATTATAAGTTATATTTCTTTTTGATCATTTTTATTAAGATATTATCATTAGGTTATTTAGGATAACTATTCTCTTATTATCTTATATGCTCAGTTAATGACAGCAAAAAGATATTACCATTCTAGTCAAACTTGACAAGATGCAAAAATTAATTTAAGTTGACATCTCATCGTTAATTCTTATTATGCCAAATCATTTAATACAGTTAATGAGAAAATCTTTTCTCCTCTAAAATATTAATATTGTATTGGCTGACAATATTTTTACTCTTCTTAATTTCTATGAAAAGAACTTAAGATTTCCTGAAGATGTTATTTAAATGTTTACAAGCCACAGATTTTTTTATTTGAATAGAAATTCCCTTCACTTTCTCTACAAGGAGATACTGAAAAGTTCTCAACCCAACACACATCCCAAACTCAATATTTTAATTGTTACAGAATGCGAAGACCAGGGCCAGAATGGTCAGTTATTGGCCGGAGTGCCGCATGGGTGTTGTATTCTGACAGTGATGGATTGCTTTTTTCTGGGTTGTGAATATGTCCATAATGGCGTGAATTCATCAGAGAGTCACAAAAATTCTGAAGCATTGATATGCCCCTCATACCCAGGTTAGCAAGTGGCTAAGTCCACCAATGGAGGGACACTCAGCCAGCGTGATACATGTGTTCCTGTGACGTCATTCCTCCCCACTGCCTCTTAAAATCCAAGCTGCCACCACTCTCTCTTAATAAAGAAAATGTGGAAAAGAAATGGCCCTTTTTCTTGATACCAATTTGTATAGTAGCATGGGGGCCCAGAAACAACACAGAACACAATAATATAATGTTTGTTCATTGAAATACTTATTTTGTAGGTGGGTTAGGCTGAGAACTTTAATGTCACATATTTTATATATATATATATATATATATATATATATATATATATATATATTTTTTGCAGACGTCCAATTAGTTATTTTTTCTGGTGTAAATAATTGTGCCTACTTAGTGTAACTAATATACTTTTAGTGCACAAATTAACAAAAATGTTTTCACAAGCTACCAAAGAGAGAGATGAAAAATAAAATTTCAAGAAAATGTCTCCTTTTTTTTTTTTTTTTTTCTAAATATATTTACTTAGTTACTGATTAGGAGTTGAGGCGTTGAAGATTTTTTTTAAGCAGAAGAAATACCTATTCCACACAAATTTTAAAGTTCAAATTGATAATTTGGGCAATACATAAACATACTTATCTTTTTTTTTATTTAAAGTATATATAACAAAATTTTGATTGATGAAAACACAAAAAAAAATAACAAAAAAAAAGTTATTTGCAGTTGAAATTAAAATAAAAATATCTACTTTATATGACAATCATTTTCCTTCAGTTTGTGTCATATATAAAAATTTGTTCATTAAGTTCCTTTCAAAAGATGAATCTTTTGAAGAGTTCATTATATGTGTTATACCTAGACTGATTCATTTCTAAATTTACAGTCACTTACTTTCTCTGAAAATTAGTAAGTCTAAAACAATAAAAAAGAAACAACTTTTGATAAACTCTTTCTAAAATACAGCTTCACTTGCTTTGCATCAACTCATACGAAAACCTCAATATAGTATAGTCTATTCTCAATATCCAAATCACAAAAAACCTTGACCGTTTTAGCAAAATAAAACTAACACCTTTTTTTAAAAAAAAAAAAAAATACTCTCTGCCTTGCATATCTGCTCTAAATTATGTTTTCTGCTAAACAACAGACATATATTCATAAATTTTAAATGCTAATTTGTTTTGTACCTAAGTATGTTTCTTATTTTATAATAAAACAGTCAACATTGATTTGAATGTGTATTTGTACATACACACATGTATATATAAACAATGGTGTCTGAAATTTCACCTGTGATGATGAAAAATTATATTGTTTGCATTTTGTTTCTACAGGCACCATCACAAATTGAACTGGAGAACTGGATCCGTGCCATCCACTCAGCGTGCGCATCGCTGTTTGCAAGGCAGCATGGGAAGGATAACACCCTGAAGTTGCTGAAGAGTGAGATTCAACGACTTGAAACAAATATAGATATGGTAAGTATTGTAAACTAGCTGTTTATCTAACGTGATATCACAGGTAGAATTGTTTTTTTAAATAGATCAAATTTTTTGTTCATGCAGAAAATAAAAGTGGCAGGGGGAAAAAAAATGAAATGATGATCATGCTTGTATTTTAATGCCAACTGCATTTGAACCTGATATACACAGGGAAGATTTTTTGTTTTTCTTTCCAATGCCCACTGTGTTTACTACTACTCCATCACTTTCTTGCTTAGTTTTACTGCATTAAAAATAAATCCAGGAGAAAAGAAAATGGATGTTTAAACACCAAATTATTCAGTTTTTTTTACCTAAAATTTGAACAAGTTTCAGAAGAAAAGTTGAACATTGACAATTAATGAAAAAAAAGATTGCTAGTGGTCTGAAATTGACACATACTAACAAAATATATAATCTCAATGTATTGGCAGTGATTTTAGTATTGAAGTGCTCTGAAAATCAGACATAAAGTGATTGTCATTGGTCAGATATTAAGGCAAGTGTTACTAACAGAATAGGGCTATTTTATACTCAGGATGCATCAATTATTTTAGAAAGCAACTTTAGTGAGCCATAAATGGAAAAAAAAAGACCAAATATAATGTTACACAGCATGCACTAAATTTTATCTTTCTCATTTAGATATATTGAGTGCATTAACATGTCATGCATAGCACCAAACTCATTCAGAAATATCTTTCAGCTGTGTACAACCACTTTGTCAAATCAATGGATTAAAAATGACTTCCCTACGAATGAGGCCAATAGTTTTCAGTGAAGACCATCCTTTTTCAAACTTTATGGACTCGTGTTACAGAATCACAAAGAACTTTACCAAATAACAGAAACAACATCACTTGAGGACTTTGAACAGCAGCAACAAGTAAAATTAATAGCACATGTAACTCGAAGAGAAAATAACAGGAGAATCAAGATGTTGGGGTTTCACATTACTTTGAACAAAAAGATAGGAAGGAAGTCCTCACCAATACTGGAAAGAGTGATAACAATCACTGGGCTTGAGAAACCCATTTTAATGGAAAATTGTTATAAATTTCAACTGATGGTTGCACTGGCTGCTTCATCAATGAATGCTGATTGTTTCCTTATAAGGGAACTTCTAACATTATTAATACTGTAGAACCCAAATTCTACATTATTCCAATACCCAAAATAGTTGAGTCAAATCTGTGCAAAAAGTGGATCACAGAACACTTTCAGAAAAATCTCAAGCCCTCATTGGTTAATAAATATACAAGTAGGCGTGACTATCCACCCACGCTTAACTAATTTTTACAGCTCATGACTGAAATCCAAGTTCGCACCAAGTCTCTGTGAGTCACCCGAAGCCAATAAAAACAGAAATTCACTTGCCAGTTTGAATTGTGACATCAATTGAATTGCAACTAAACTTCACGTCTCACAATTTTAAGTTTTTTTTGTTCATACGAACATTATACAACTTAATGATATTGACACTAACTCATCAAAACTTATCAGTGAATTTTATTCTTATTCACTCACCAAATTCCTTTACACAGAAGTTAAACAAATTCCTGCTAACAAATCGACATATTTTTTCTACATTCGAGAACATTGTATTACACAAAGCAATCAAAGGTAGATAACTTCTTTGATCACAAATTGCATTCAACTTTATAAACATTTACTACTTACATGAACAGTAATTTTTTTCTCTTGCAATTAATTTATGAAATCTTCAATAACAGATTCTAACAAACACCCTTTCGAATTAGAACTCATTAACAAAATTTAATCTTTCACCAAACTTGAGTTCAACATAAATTAAACTAACAAAATTTCACCGAAAAAAAATTGACTATATTTTTGTAAAATATTTTCATTACAAAAATACATTGAAAATTACTTGTTATTCAAATATTTGCCTTTTGTCTTTTATCACAAATGTTTCTTGTTGTTTCCTCTTGTTTTTTGTTTTGCTTGACATATTCGTAGAGTAAAAAAATTGTATGGATTGATTTGGGCCATCAACACTATTAAATAGTAACCACAAAATTTCCCACTACAATACCATTACAGCAGCTTGCAATCTGACACAAGAAATGAAAAGACATACCATGTTCATGGCACTAGCTGTCAATTACAGAAACTTGGACTTTGTGAAAGTGGCCAGGGGAACAGGAAGAATGACAGCTGGATCTTTGTGGAAACACAGGGATGTACACCAAGTGTGCTTCTTTGATACTCCTGCAGGTTATTAATGACTAGGGCTATATCATGCTTCCTACTTCTTCAGGGTATATTTCTAGATGCTGGATATGTTGGTCAAACACTGGGATGAAGGGATAGCCATACATGTTCCAACAAGACACTGTAATCTCTCAGGCGTAGCTGGCCAAAACTTTTCACAATCATATCACCCCCAATATTGCCTCTTAGTCCTCCTGATTTGTATACCATTTAAGGCATTGTCAAAAGGGAAACCAACTAGCAGTCTCACAATACTCATGTCATTTTGTTATAAAAATAAAATCACATTTATTAAACAAGTGAATCAAAAAGTGCAAAGTCAGAGAACACTTAAAAACCACTCCTTTAAAATCCTTTAATATTGCTAACATGGTGATGATATTAGCTGTTTCCTTATAAGGAAATATTATTCAGCTTTCATTGACTGAGCAGTCAATATTACTTTCTTTTAAAACAATTTTTCAAGAACTACATTGTTCCTAATTTTCATCAACTCTGTATCTATGTGGATGACACAACTATTTACTTCTATCGTAATAGTAAATCTGATTAGTTCAATAAGGTCAAATTGGCAGTTGATCTAAATAGTGACCTACATTCTGTTGTTAACTGGGGCAAGGAATGGTTTAATATTTTAATGCTTCCAAAATGAAACTGTTTACTATTAATTGCCTATTTTTGCCTTCCATCAGCATGGATGATGCTAACCTTCATGAGAGTGACTCATTGTGTCTTCTTGGACCAACATTCTCGGCCGACATAGAGTGAAAAGGTTATATAGAATCAATTGCTAGGTCTGCTGCTAAGAAAATTGGTTCACTGTGGTGTGCTAGACAATTTTTCTTGCCAGAATCTATCTTACGTATTTATACGTCTACCATTTGTTCCTGCTTTGAATATTGAGAACTATCTGGTTTATTTAGTTCAACCACCTTTTAAGTAAAACTTTGGGGGTTTTTTATGGCTGTTTAGCCAAAACATATTTTGAATTGTAAGAATATTTTTTTTTGCAAGTGAATATTGAATTTTTTAAAAAATATTTCCTCCAAGCAAGGGAATAATGCCACTGAGATACCAGAGGTTACTGGGAGCGAAAGAGAATGAGAAGAGTTTACTCATAAGAAAGGACAATAAAAGACCCTGTTCTTTTATTGTACTTTCTCCTCACTAAAGTCTTCTCAGGAAGACACAATATGGTGATTGACATTGCATTTAAAATTTTTGATTAATACAGGTGTCAGGGAAACAAGAAACTGGATGAAAGTTCCAGAGGTGAGAAGTATGAGAAAAGAAACTATTAGAATAGAGCTTACAGTTACATCTAAGCTATTTCAACTGTAAAATGATGAAACCTATTTGCCAATCTAGTAGTGCACTTAAATTCATGCAGTCAAAGTACTGAGGAGGAGAGCTCATAAGAACAATTGCCAAGAAAATATTTACAGAAATGATAGAGGGAAGCAATGTAGAATTAACAATTTTTCTTTTCTGTTATAAGTCCTACTATTTAACCTATATCTGGGGGAGGAGATGGACTGCTACCTTTCCCAAGGGTATTTGTACATAAGTGAATGTAATGAACCCAACTGGAATTAGAACTCAGCTTCCTAATTCTGAGCTACTATTTATTACACCACTGGGGAGAGTCATTCCCAACAAATATACATGGAAAAGATCTGAATTGTAATACAAAAAAAGAGAATTGGGCAAAACAATGTTGGATATATTTCATAAATGGATTAACACAGGAAAAGTTACAAACATAAAACTTAAGAAACATAAGCATTAAAAAAACATGACTAAATCATAGTAAGCCTGTCAATTTTGGAAGTAGTGGCATCATCGTCCTGCTTGGAGTGAAATGGCTATAAAAATTAATTTGAAGTTTTCATCTTAGCAGAATTTACTGTTGTTGTTGTTTCAAAATGTTTTCTTTTTTTTCTTTTTCTCTCAACTTATTTTTATTTTAATATATAAACTATATTTAGTTTATTATCTTGCAATTGGTATGGATATACATTATTGATTGATTTCTGCAATTATTATTTTACTAAATATATCAAATTCTGTTGGCAGGATGTAAAAATGAAAAAAATGGCTGAACTCCAGTTGACCGTGGTAACTGACCCCAAAAGCCGAACAGCAATTGTGAAACAGATTAATCAGTGGGAAGAGAACCTAGAGAAACTATTTATAGAACAGTACCGTTTACGTTGTTATATGGCTTCACTTCAAGGGTCAGAACTTCCCAACCCAAAGGTAAGAATTTACAATTAGTCCTGCAATATTATTTTCTGAGGTTCGTCTACAATATACAAGTAGCTCTTTTCGAAATAAAATTCTTGGAAATATCAATCTTTTTATTCTTATATCTTACAATGAAATAATAGAATGATGGAATTATGAAACTATTTTCTCTCTTGACTTTAACAAAATACTTCCTTTTTTTGTGAAAAACAACAGAGTTTGTTAGCGAACGTGTCCAAGTCCTCGAAAGGTATCCTGGGGCGTCTTGGCATCTTCACTGTGACATCATTCCACGCTCTGGTCTGTGCACGTTCTCCACCAACTATGACTGCCATGCAAGGGAAAACACTCCCTGCCAAGAAGTCCAATTCTGCTGTTCCTAAGAGCAGTGAACTACAGGGTGGAACACTGGGACGGCATCCAAATCAATCTGCAATGCAAGCTCCACTTGCCTCAAGTGGGCATAGTGAGTAAGTACACCTTTTTTCACCTATTTTACTTGCATGTTTTACTTTAAACCCATTAATATTGTTATCTTTTAAATATTACAAGACCTGATAAATTTTTACTGGAATCAAGCAGTATAAATTTTTATAAGCAAATGTATTGACACTTGCTTGTATAATTCTATATATCTTTTCTTGTTTTAAAATAAAGTCAAATTATTCTTATTACCTTTTGTCATGGGTCCTTACCTATAACTACAGAATGAACTCTTCCTAACACTATATATACAACGCCTCTCAAGAGAGAGGATCGAATAGAGTCAAGCCAATAGTAGTTCACTCCAAACCAGACTGACAGTCATACTAACACCTTCCACATCTTGTATTATTATTTCATGTAATATACCTTCGTTATTTCTACTCTTGTGTTCGTGTTGTTCTTCCTTGGTCCTAACCTGGACCATAACACTTTTTTAGCACCCATGGTTCCATTAGGGGAACATATTTTAAGACATTTTTTTTAATTCCAGCTGAACATTAATTTTGATTATTTTGTTAATAATATAGATGGAAATTCCAGATGACTCTCTATTTGACAAGTGACTTTTACAAATACTTCCTTTTTTGTCAAATTATCCATTATATCACCTGCACATCCAAGCTTACAGCAACTGGTGCTCTCAAGCAGTCACACATTTAGGTACTGATCAACTGATTAATTGCAGTGATCATATGGAAACAGATGTTTCATTGTGATGTGGCTGTAAATTCCAATCCAATCAAGTACAATACATACCCTTGGGAAAATTATGAATTAATCTCTTCTCCTCACAGTTATGGGTAAGTAGTGGAACAGACTGGGTCATATAGCCTTGGGTGTCAACTGGTCTCAGAGGACGACAACTCTGAATTTAAAACCTCTAATTATGGGTTAAATAGCCTCATCAACCTGCAATTGGCCAACACACTACACAGCTACACTCCTGAAGACATGGTCAATCTAAGACCTCCCCACCCAACCTCCCAAGGAGTGAGAAAGCCCTGGATCTGGATCTGGATCTGGATCTGTTCCAGTGAGCTTTCATCCCAGTACCTCCTCTATAAATGGAAAAACACTAAAATATAATTAATGCTTATCTGGTATCAAAAGAATATCTTAAACTATGTTCCACTAGTAGAAAACTAGGTACTAAAAGGTTAGAAATATGCCTATCATGAGAATTTAATCATTTTTGTAAAAACCACACTTTCTATGTGTAGATAGTGTAATATTTATCAGTATTGAGAGTGGAATTGGCAAACTAAGTTCCAGCCTAGTTTATTGCATTTACTACACATTGAAATTCATTTTTTCTCCCCTCTAGCTGTGAGTTAAAGGTAGATTCGGATATCTAAATTTGGGTGGCAATCAGCCTAAGAGAAGACCAATTATAAATTCAAAACTGTGGAGAAGTCAATGGGAAACCACTCTACTATAACTCATAGCAATAAACAAATGATAAAAAAAGGAGTCTGAAGAGGGCCTACATTCTGAAAGGAAATGGCATTAAAAAATTTCTTCTCCAATATAACTAAAGAAAGATCCTTTAAAGTAGTGTCTACAAAATAACACTTTTAAATCATAGAATCTCTCAAAAAGATATAGGTATTTACTAAGTTTAACTTTGGTCACACATACACATAACCATTGGCTCCTATAAGAAGCTCTTTAGCAGGTTTTGTTTTTCATCCTGTGGGATGGCATGCCACATTCCTCACTAGCAGAAAATTGTTAGTTCTTTTTGTTTTAGCTGCATATCAAGATCTGTAGATCATTTAATGCCAAAAACTTAATATTTTAAATGCATTTCTTTTTTTTTTTTGAGATAATAATGATTTAGTGATACAAGTCTTACTAATTAACCGATAGCTGTGGGGGGGAGAAGAGGTAGATTCATACCTTTCCCCAAGTGTATTTGTGTGTTTCAATATAACAAACCCAACTGGAATTGGAACTCAGCTCTCTAATTAACAATTCCGAGCCATTATCCATTACACCACCTGCACATCCAAACTTATAGCACTTGGTATTTCCCAAGCATTCACCCATGTAGGTACTGCCCAGGCTGGACGTTGCTTAACTTTAGTGATCATATAGGAACTGGTATTTGAATGTGACATGGCCATAAGCCTCACTAGCAGAAAAGTGAGTGGGAGAGCTGGTTTAGACACCAACATGCAGCATGTTGTACTGGGTTACATGGTACCAATTGCATACCTAAGCATGATTGACTATACAGCTGAGGAGCACACTGTAATGACTGAACTCTCTGCATTAGAAATGGTCTAGTATAACTAGTTTGCAACTATCATTGGCTTCCTTTCTCAAAAAATATGTCCTGCTTGAAGTGTTTAATTGCAGCAAAATTGGTTAGCAAGCTGAACTTACAAATCATTAGTACTAAGTAGAGAAAATTGATCTTCACTGTTTAGTAAATAACTTTATCAGTGTACATTAATCATAAAATTTATATAAGTAACCACTAAGTAAGTTAGCTGTAAATTTGAAAAATTATAATTCTGCTTGTCCCTCTGCTAGTCAATAAGTATATGCCATTACTTCAGACAAATAATGGCCCTTTCTATTTTGAATGCAAAGATGAAGAAAAGAATATCAGAAATGTTATCTGATTTTAATGAGAAAAAGAAAGCATACATAAGAACCAAGAAAGAAAGAGAAGATAGAGGAAGTGATGCTATCAGAACATCTGTTTCAGTGAAATGGAAATAATGAGTAAAGAAAGGTGGGAAAAAGGTGAGAAGAGAAGAGAAGAGAAAGGAAATTTTTGTAACAATAAAATGGATATATGTTACTTTACTTTTGTCTTTCTTATTTCTTTCTATGTATCTAATTTGCCCTTCAGTATTATTCAAGTTTCCTTGATAATTATCCTTCATTAAAGAAATATACTTTAGGTCATAGTCCAGATACAAAGAGAGAATTGAAAATAATAAAATAGAGAGTAATAAAATCAATTGATTCTCAAAGCATTATTCAATGGAGAAATTTAAACTATTATTGTTGTAATCTAGGAAAAGGTTACAGAATAAGAATAACCAAAATGAAGGTTGGAAATGGAACGATAATATTTAAGACAAGAATAACATACAACATTCGCCAGTGGCATATAGTAAGTAAACAACTGCTAGAAGTGAATCAAGGTGAATCGAACAGTGAATCCCACAGTAAATCAATGTACAGTATATTCTACTGTATTTATAAGGATTGGGACATACCCATTATAGTCCATAGGTACAGTATAACAATTATTGAAACAAGTGAAAATGAAATAATGTTTTTATTACATGTAATTAGCTGATGATTCGATCCAAATCACCCTAGAGTCACAAGAACAGACATTTGAGAAAGTAAAATTATTTTTACCTACACCTATATTCAACCATATTGCATTCTCAAAGGTTCACAAATTATCTAATATTGGAGGCAAAATACTGGATACAAACAAAAAAAGGGAGCAGATGGTGAATTATTTGTATGAATATTCTGTGTTAAAGGTAAAATAAAAGAAGGGAAAATTTTTTTTTCATTTTTATAACTTTATGTATCTAATGTATCTTCTACAATATTATTCATTTTTCCTTGATAATTATTCTTCATGAAGGCAATATAATTTATTGGATAGTCAGGACACAAAAAGAAAATTGACAACAATAGGATATAAAATGATAAAAACAATTGTTTCTCATATTTTGTTAAAGTTGTTAAACTCAAATATTTAACAACAAGATAGTGGAATTTCCAAAGATATTTTATAGGAATATATTTAATCATTACATTAACAACTGACTCATTGGAAAATTCAAAATAGGAAAACTATGAAATTTTCATGGGTTCTGCTCGGAGATATCTTACAATAAGTTCATAACATCCTTTGATAAAGCAATAATACATTTATTCATTTTAACATGAAGCAAGACTTACAGCCATATCATGTTGAAACACCAGTTTTTGTACAATCACCAAAGTTAAGCAACTCCAAGTTTGGTCAGTATCTAGGGAAATACCAAGTGCTGCAATTTTGGATGTGCAAGTGATGCAATGGATAATGGGTGGAATTAGAAATTGAATGGTCAAGTTCCAATTCCTGTCAGATTCATTATATCCACTTAAGCACAAATATTCTTAGGAAAGGTATGAATTTGTCTCCCCCCCATCTATGGGTTAATTAGTAGGACTTGTATCAGTAAATCATTATTATCTCCAAAAAATTCTTAAAATGTAAAAAATATTTTCTGGCCTTAAATAACCTGCAAAATGTTGATAAACCATAAAAAATAAATCAATCAATTAACATGAAGCCTACTAAATCACTCAAAATGTCTATGTTACTTTGTAGCTTTGAAAAGGAGCAACATAGAAATTGTATTGCTTTTGTCTTTCTCTATCCAGGAAATATTCGCACAAGGAATTAGATAGAGATCATCGAGACGATCGGCAAACACCAGACAGCATGCCACCAAACCGGACAGACACTCCTGATAGCGGAACCAAAGAGGGTCTATCAAAGATCTCCTTACCACATAACCAGGTAGATTTTCCTTTCCTCTCCTAGGATGTTTTCTTTTCACTTGTGCTATTCATATTCTCAGTCAATCAAATGTTGCTGCTATTTGTAAACAATTATTATGTTAGCCAATCCTTTTGTTTTGCTCTGTGACCAGGTAATGGCATTTAAGCTTTACTAATTTCTGTTCATAATTACTGTCATTTGTTTTGTTTGCCCATCATTTTGCAATGCTATCCAAACTAAAGCCAATCTCAAGAATTATTTAAGAAATCTTAAATATCATTTTAAAAAAAAAAAAAAAAAAAAACTTACAGGTACCATTCTTTTTAAATTTGCTTTCAAGTTGCTGTTATTTGCAAAAATCATCATTATTAGAAAAAATTCAGATAAAGTAAATAGAACCTTTTAAGAACTTCAGATGTTCAACTATTTCATTTTAACAATATGAGAGAGGTGTTGTTTAACTCTAGAATAAACTTTAAGATAATTGTTGGAGTTTAGTTATCTTGAAAGGAATATCTGATGTAGAAAAGAAGGAAAGATTTATTTGGATTTTGGATGGAATACAAATCCTGTATTTGTGGAAGGGCCGGAAAATAGAAAAGTTGCTCCAAGGTTACAAGTTACAAAGGATCAATAGATTTGATTTGAAGAGCAATAACTAACCCGAGAAAAATTATCCAATTTTCTTGGCTTGTAATCCTAATTAAGCTTCTATGCATGTAGCTATGGGTGGTAAAATAGTGGATTTCTGAGCTTAAAGGTAAAAAGGTTAGTTTATGTTTTCATATATATGAAAAGAAAATTTCTTTATAAAGGCTCTAATGAGCTTTGTGTTATATAACATAATTACAAATGTATTTTACTTTTTTTTTATATGCAAGCAAAATCATTATTTGCTATTTCTCTCTCCATTATAAATGTATGGTACTTCATTCATTTATTAAGACTTTTCCTGATTAACAAATGTCAGGTAAGCAATATAAATTAAAGGAATGTTACCTGTAACCATTCTCAACAACTGTTCAAAATCCAGCTATAATTGTTATACTGAAAATTACTAAGTTTATAAACATTTCAAAATGATTTTTTCTTGATATTTTTCTCATATGCAATTTTAGAAAAAATCTAAACTTCTTTCAAATGTATTTTCTAAAAATTCTTTGATATTTTTATCTTTGTTGTGGAATACTTGTATCTTAATGTACTTTATCTCTTTCATTCTTAAAATTAATTCTACAAGAAAATTTCATTTAAAATTTTTCTTCTATAGTTTTATATATATATATATATATATATATATATATAAATATACACACACAGAGAATATAATTATATTCTATTACTTAAATTTTGTACCTGTTGTTTTATTCCTGTTTAAAATTGATTACTCAGAGTAGATTTCATATCTGTCAAAGAGAACTAATCAAACATATTGCTAATAGTGCAAGAAACCAAAATATTAAAAAGAAAGTAAGTTTCCTGTTTTTATTGTCATTAATACTAGAATTTATAACTAAATGAAATTTCAGTTCTGACTTAAAACACAAATTATTGACATTATTCTTTTTATCAACTAGTTAAGATTCAAATAAGGATCTGTTCAAGTCTAGCATTAACTGTTGCCTTCCCCATAAACTGTGCCTCTTACTCTGTAACCCTCTATCTTGAGTGGCTCTTGGGTTTTGTACAGGGTGATCATCATTGTCAAAATAAAAAGGATCTTTTTTAAGTTACGTCTGACTCAGGCCAACTTGCAAGTAACATCCTATTAAAAGATCATTAAAATACTTCAAATTATGCAGAAGCGGATAAAAATTTAGTAATTTCAACTATGCTAATTTTTTTTTATGTGCTTCATAAATAAAGTAAAAATTCACTCAATATCCCTTTTTATTTGATTAGTCAACATTTTTTTGCATTTATTTCGAGAAAGAAAAAAAATAATTTTCTTTTAAATCTTAAAAAAGTAACAATACATATAAATTTTGCATAAATTCAAACATTGTTTTGTCAATCTATTAAACTGGTAAAAGTAAAAACAATAAGGCTCATCCTATTTTCTCCCTAAATATTAAATATTTGAACCAATAGATTTCTTCCAAAATAACAAAATAAATTTAAAGATTCTATCATAAAGAATTTACTTGAGAATGATGCAGATTTGGCAAGCTCTATTACACATTTTTAATAATTAGATTTAGAAATTTTATTACTTTTGGGCCTGCTTTTAAAAGAAGCTGTGATTGACTTTCTTATAAGGAGCCAAATTCAAAATTTAGTAATGTTGGGCTTTCAAATGTAGTCCAAGTCACCCTATCTGGTAACCCAAGATTAAAATGCTTCAGAAGGGAAATGTTCTGTTAAGAAGCACTAAAGAACACTCTTATTTTTTTTTTTTTTTTTTACTATGAACAAGATTGTCCGAAATGGGGGAGGAAGAAAAATTTGGAGCTAAAACTCACATTGCTATATAGAGATAAGAAAACAGTTCAGAAAATAATTTTATTTAAACCAAAAGTTAAATGGAAAATGTCATGGTTAGAAAATAGTATGATTGCTTAGAAAAATTCCAGTAAATTATTCAAAAGATAAAAATTTTAATCTTATTCATTTTAAGATGGCTTTTTCTAAAAATGTTTACTTCTATTTTGTGTTTCTCTTATTTTCCTTCTCTTCTTTCTGTTTGTCTGAATCTTTTTTTTATTTTTGTATACTTTTTGATCTGTATGAACAATATTTTTGTTTTTGTTGCTAAATGCTTTGTTCCACTCAATATGAAAAATGGTAAGTAATGACACCCCCTGCAAAAAAAACAGAATCTTGAAAAATTGTTTCCTTGCCTCTATTGAATATTAAGCATATGAGTTATAGAAAATTTTACTCAATTGACCAAAAATGATAAATGATAATCTTTGATCACTTCATTTTTTTCTGAGATAAAAGCATGGAAAAAAAAAATGCTTCCCATTAAGATACATTTTCTTCCAAATATTGATCTCAAGTGAATAGATAAATTATTCCAGGGAATTGATTCTTTTCATGGGGAAAAGTTCAATTGTTAGAAATCAATATTAGTAAACTAATAATTAGTTACAATTAAATCATGCCCTAAATTTGTATGCATTCCTTCTAATTATCTCATTAACTGAGATTCTATTTCATTTCAATGAATCTTTTAATTATTTAATTCCTGATAAATTCTAATTCATAAGCTCAAATTTATTTTTTGATTGAAAGAAAATCCAAGGGAGATCATCTCTAGAATTTCTATGGCATTAGATAAAATGACATTTTTTGTTTTTTTTTTCTCAATTAAATGCATAATCTTTTTTTCCTTCTCTTCAATAAAGGCAAGATAGCAATCCAAGTATATTTAAAAATCTGACATTATTGAATCAAGAGGAATTATCACAATATACATTTATAGTTTTACATTCAATCAATTTCAATGTTATCCATTTGATTTTCAACTTATTACCTACAATTTTTTTCTCTTCTAGCCAAATGCCTACATCGAGGTCATCATATTTGAAAAATCATTAAACTGTGTATTGTGAATTTTTCCTCCTTCTTCAGTCATGCCATTTGATCACCAATTATATCATTGAAATACTGTGAAACAATTCTTTTTTTTTATATTATTACCCTTATTATTTTAATTCCTATTCATCTGTGATCCCTTCTCTCCATTTCTACTCCTTTTCTACTCCCCTCCCCCCAATCAGCATTCCATACTATTTGGGGTAACAATGGGTGCTGCTTGCTATCCACTGGTATATCTCCACCTACCTGTATGTGTGTTATCCTCTCTTGATAGTCTATTTTTGATAAATCTTTTCTCTTGATGATGCCCAATTCATGTCATTTGATGTTGTTGACACGATACCATTACAAAACTGAGAAGGTCCCTTCTTTTTCCTGCTTTGATGCAGCAACGTGCAGGGTATTTCTCACCTAGAACAAAAGGAAAACACTGCATTCATAAAAGACACGATGACAATCAGGTAAGCTGTGACCCACCCTGCCTGCCTGCCATGCCCAACATTGTTACTTTTTTTTTTTTTTTTTAGCACTTCTATTTCTCTGTGTTACAAGGGACAGATGCTGACCTTTGTGTATGCTTTTTGGTCAGCAGTTTGATGGGTGGAATAGAGTTGGTTGTTGGTGGTACGTGTCTTTTGGTTGCTGTGGAAGACAGGCTAAACAAATACATACATGCATTCATACTCACAAACACATTTATACATGTATATATCTACATGCAGAGGTATCTTTGTATGTGCATATATAAATGTGAGATTGTGTCTTTAGATATATAAGAGTTCACAAGGGTGAAAGTTATAGAAGGATAATAGAAAACATTTTCTGTTTTATTCATTAAATTCACAACAGTTGGAAACTATCATATATTTATTAGATACTGAACCTTACTAATTATACTACTTACAAATCATAATGTCCTGATTTCAGTTTTGTTATGTCTTGTATTTACTAATCAATGGTGACTGGGATTCGTTTACTCTCTGGGTGCGGTATTTTTTTTTCTAATATGGTAGTCAATATTCCAACTGTACAGAATATTTTTTTGAAGTTGATGCCAATAATTTCAATAAAATCATTTATGTAAAAAAAAAAAAAAATTTCTAAATAACAGAAAAAAAAATAATGTTTTCCTTCATCCTTGTTATGGTTGGTACTGGCAAAGATGATTGGTTGGTTTGGAATGGGATCAACACTATCAGTTGATTCTGATTGGTGTAGAAAATAATGTCATGAATTTGGTGATGGTTGATTGGTAATTTTTCTTGTTGTTGTTGTGAAAGGGTCTCTTTCAATATTGATTATCTTTTTAACAGTTTTAATATTTGGAATGCATGGTTAAATTGGTTGGTGAATTGGTTCTTGCTGTTTCTAAAGAAAACCACTGTTTGCATCTAAATATACTTGTTAATAACCAGCACATTTCACATTCACTAAAGTAAGACTTATCAGGTTACAAAATAAGAATTGATCTTTGTTAAGACCAGTTTTCCATGTGTGTTCATTTTATATTGTAATTTAGTTAACACAACTAAAGTAAGTTAATGCCTTGGTCAGTTTATCATTAAAATAATATTCCATAAAAAAATAACTATAACATTTTCTTTAAATTATTCTTCATAATGATAGTTACATCTTATCACTGTCAAAGATTGGTGTTAAAATAAAATCTTTTTTAAATCAGGCTTTCAGATATTAATTTTAAGACAAGCCCTCTCCTCTTAGTAGATTGGTTCCACATAATTAGATTATCAAAAACTTACTAAATATCTACAGCACTGTCACTAAAAATGATAGACACATAAAAAAAACCCTGAAAATTACAGTATTAATAGAAGAGACTTAGTTTATCAAAATCAAATTAAATTTGCAAATGTTTCTTTTTGAAATTACAGTCAAAGATATCAATAAATGATCTTAGCAGTGCAGATTTTCTTTTAACTCAGAACAATGATAGGTTTAGAAATGAGCAAGGAATTGTAATGATATAAAAAAAATGTACAACATTCGAACTGAGAGATTTTGATATAATGAATTCATGATTCCAATTTTCCCATGATTCTTTATTAACTGTTTTGTATAAACTATAGAAGTACGTATAAATTGTAATTTACAAGTGTTGTTTGAACCATTAAAGTAATTATTTGTATTGTATTTCTTGTTTAACATAGCATATTGCCATCCTTTTCTGTAATTCCTTATAGATTGTATATCTGATAAAGACTGCAGACCAAATCACTTAAAATATATTAATAATATCAACACAAAAACTAGTTTGAAAAAAATCTTTGACTTCTTGTTTAAACAAGAAACAAATTTGTATAAGCTAAATTTGTTTGGCTTATATCTAGTCAAACAAAAAGTAGCCATTGGCCAGGCTTCTGAAAATACCAAAATTTTTTTTAGAAGAAATGAAACAAATTACAAGGAAGTAACACCGGATAACATTGCATGATTCTTCTATATATATATATATATATATATATATATATATATATATATGAGAGTGAGATAGAATGAAATGGTTCCATTTCTTCAAAACTAACACTTTCAAACATGGAATGATAATTATAGACAGCATCTGTTATTGATTTAATATAACTACTGAAGAGAAATATGGTCATATATATATATTATATATATATATATATATATGTTTATTTAATGTTGCAGGCATTTTATAAATATTTTCATAAGTTGTGACTAGATATCAATGAAGTAATTGTTTAGTATATTTACACATGCATTATTTCTGATATTGAGCCCTTTTACCCATAAATATAGCATACCTTAAAATTATATTCTTTATGACATGCACATATGTGTATATGATTTACTTTTTATAATTTAATTTTTAATCATTTCAACTCAAGCAAGGCAATAAAGCCACTAAGATGCAATGGGTTACTGAGTGTTAGAGAATATGAGAAAAACAAAAATGCTATGAAAGAGAGAAAACAGAAAATGAACAAGAATTAAGAAGACAGAAGATAATGATTGACATTGCATTTAACTTTTTGGAGGTCAAAGTTGACAGGGAAGCCAGGATAGATTTCCTCAATTGAGAAAAGAAACTGTCAACATCGAACTTAGTTACATCTAGACATTTCAAGTGCAAAATGATAAGACCAAATCTAATACTGTGCTTAAATTCATAAAGTCTAGGTTCCATAGAAGAAAATTCATCAGAACAATTACCATGAAAATATTTATAGAACTATCACAGAGAAGCTACATTATGGCAGTGAGAAAATGACTGAAGCCAAGATACCACGTCAGGACCGATGACTTTGTAGATTCTTCTTTTGATTTTATCAAGGATCTCTAAATATATAGCAGGAGCACCAGACCAGTTGTGGTAGCAGTATTCAAAGAAAGGATGAATGGTAGACTTATAAATATGTAAGATAAATTCTGGAATTATATTTTATGACACAGATTATTTCCAGCAAGTCATTCTTTTAGTTATCAGTTATGATTACATTAACAAATATCTGAAAATTACCAAGCATTACTTTATAGTCACCTTCATCTGATATATTGGTAAACAATTCATTAGCAGAACCACTTTCCTTAGAAAACTATTAAGAGAGACTATCATCATCTTAATTTTAATTGGGTTTTGATCTCCGAATACAAGCCATCCACCTACAATTAGTATTCTATCAAATAACCAATTCCTATTACCAATTTTAATGATCAAGTAAACTAAAAATCTTTTTTCACTGAAACAGTCAATCTGTGTTCATCTTTTTACAAGATTTTGCCCCAGGGATGCTAATTACCCAAAGTAAATCACACTTGAACCTCAATTGAATTTGCTAAAATAGTTAATTGCTTATTAGTTAAATCAGCAGAACAAAGAGTTCCTACTGATCAGATTCTCCTCCTCATTATTATTATTATTATTATTATTATTATTCTCATCCCAACATTAGGTTTAACATCAAATTTATCATTTTATATTTGATAACTCAGTAGCAAAGACTTGAAGCAAACCAGATGACTATTGACACATTTCAGAAGTAGCAAACTTTATATAAAGGTAAAGTAAGTAAAGATAAAAATTCATGGTATAATGTTTTCATTTGGTGGCTACAATACTGATGTAAATGAGATCCTCTCCATGAAATTAACTGAGCAATTTATTCTTCATCCGAAAACTTACTTGAAAATGAACATTTCAACTTACAAAATTTATGCTTAACATCAATTAATAATTGACTCTTTCTGATCCTCTCAAGAAATATATGTCCTTGCATATAGAATATTTGATTATTACCTGATAATATTTTTATGTTAGTAAGATATGATGTAGAAATGAGACTGACAACTGATATTAGATTCTTTAATTTTTCACATCACTCATACAAAAATCAGTTTTATTAAAATAAAAAATGCTGAAGATCCTCTGAACTTAGATTCAAAGGAATAAAAGCAATATAATATTTTCTTGAATTCATTATTAAGAATGATCAAATTAAAGCTAACTGATTTATTCTGCCTTTCATCAGCATGGCTGATGCTGACCTTCAGGAGCATGTCTTGTTGGGCTAACATTCTTTGCTGACATGAAGTGGAAAGACTATAATGAATCCATCGCTAGGTCAGATGCTAAGATAGCTGGTTCACTGTGTCATGCTAGACAATTTTTCTCTCTAGAATCTGTCTTGCATATCTATAAGTCATCTACGCTTAGAATATTGCTGCCATCTATGGTCCAGTGCTCCTGCTATATATTTAGAGATTCTTGATAAAACCCAAAGAATCATCAACATTAGTCATTTTCCCACTCTCTAAAGTTGCTTCCCTGTGCCTTTTCTATAAATACTTTCATGGTAACTTCACTATTGTACCTAGACTTTATGAATTTAAGTGCAGTACTAGACTGGTGATGAGGTCTTATCAATTTACAGTTGAATTGGCTAAATGTAACTGTAAGTTCTATGCTAGCAGTTTCTTTTCTCACACTTCTTGCTTATGGAGCTAGAAGAGAGTTCCATGTTTTCCAGTCAACTTTAATCTTCAAAAATTTAAATGCAATGTCAGTCATTATGTACTGTCCTCTTGATTATTCTATTGTTCTTGCTTCTTAGTAATGTTTCTATTTTTTAATTCTTCCACACTCAATAACTCCTTGTGGCTGTACTGAATTGCTCTGGTTGAAATGATTTAAAAAATGTATTTAGTTTAGCTTATGGAGTAGCCAATGAGGATGAAGCTCACTACTATAGTAATTAGGGTCTGTGAGACTAGATATGAAAATATTAAAAGCAGCTTAAAAATTGACCAATGTAAGGAAGGTATGGCTGTTGTTTAAATCAGTGATTTTTAATGTGGACCTGAGAAATATTTTAAATGAGCTTAGAGACATCAGGAGCAGTAGTGTAGTCATTAGTCAGGATTTATATTTTCTAGTACATTTTGCTTTTGTAAATCAAATGTATTCACTGTTACATGTAATTTCTATTTGGACCACAAGAAAAAAGAGGTTTGTCAGAAACACTGGTTTAGATCAATATCAAGATCTATGACTTTAATCTTTTTTTCATATGATTCCATCAAAGTTAACCCAAACTCAACCTTCCTCCCACTGGAACTAGAGGTCAGTGTTTGTACCTGTTATATTATGCTTTAAATCAGACCTCTTTCTGATTCATTCTATAATAACACTTATCTGCCAGATTTGAATGCCAAGAAAGCAAAATTAAAAAAGTTGCTCTTTGCATAGAATCTCCAAAGTTTTCATTTGGCTTACAAAACAAATTCCCCAAAAATATGAAATAAAATTTAAACATCAATGCCAATCATAAATTTTGCAGCAAAAGCATTACAAAGAAAGGCTGAGTCATATATCGAACCCTGACTCCTTAAAAGGACACTCAAGGCAGTACACAAGAGTTCACAGTGGCCTCTTGGTCAACTGACCCAACACAAACTTCAAACATACATAACCACCCACTCCCTCATCTTCCAGGCCACCTCCCTCACTCACAAAAATGACATTCTGAACATATCTTGTCTTTTTTTCTTTCCACCTCACAGACAATACATTGTTGTTGTTTTTTTTTTTTTAGTATATAACAAACCAAGATAGAAAATCCTCATTCACAAACCTGGCTTCTAAGCAAAGTACTTGGATGAATTACATTCCCTTCAAACTTTCTCAGCAAAGACACGCCATGCCACTTACATAGTACTAAATCAGCCACATTCCCTCTGTATTCCATTAGTGTGAAGTAAGTTCCACTCAAACAGCTTTTTCCTTCAAACTATTGCTCTGTGGAACCAACTCCCAAGAGGATGTTTCTCCAATCATTACAATCTTAACCTGTTCAAGGCTAGGGTTAACCATTATCTTCCCTTCCTATCCACACAAATTAACTCCTAACATAACCCTCTACCTCAAGTGGCTCCCGGGCCTTGTACAGGGTGAACCTTACTAAGTGCTAGTAGCTTTTCCTTGTTGGGACAAAATGCTTTTACTTTTATTTAGATTTGCTCAGTAATAATCTAAATTGATTAAATATCATAATTGAACAACATTCTGACCAAGACCTTAGCTTACAAAATAGCAGTAGGCTTTTCTTTATTCACAAAACAGAATTCACTATTTCACTTTCTCCTTTCCACAAGCTTGAATCAAAATCTTTTTTCACTTTCTGATAAAACTAGTTAAAACTTTTGCAAATTTAAAAATTGTATCATTGTTTTTCATAGATATGCTAGGAAATGTTCATAAAATTATAGATAAACAATGCTTTATTTTTATAAAGAGTAGCATTTATATGTTACTTTTTTGTCACATTTAATAAAATACTATTAAATAAGTCACTTTTAATTACTTCATCTATTTTTTTTGATGTTCAATGCGTATATGGAATAATGATTTGTTTATTATTATCTAAACTAAAATTAAAATAAGCCTTTGATTAAAATAAGTTTCTTTCTGTAACTTGGGGTAGCAAGGACAAAGTTGATGGTGTTGTGAAATGAAAAAAAAAAATATTGTATTGATATAGCTAGTCTTGCTGGTTTTCCACCTTCTCGACCCCCATCAATATCTTGTTTTCACACTTCCTAAATTCTCTTCCCTTTTTTTCACAAAACTTAGAACGCCATCCCTATCCTGAATAGTTTACCTACCCCAATCTTGATCGTTATTAGTCATTTTCACCTTGCACTTATACATTACCCACCCGTACATAATCATAAATGTTTTCATATATGTAGTATGTGTGCACGAAGGTGTGTGGTTGTACAATGGTTATCAGTACAGAAAGCAGAATTAACAGAGTTACAATTCCAGAGGAAGTTGCTTATGTTCACTTCATGTAAATATCTTTGGTTAAAGGCATGAACCCACTTCTCTCTATACTCTGTCCCAGTCATAAGACAAAATATCTTGTGATTGGCTTTCTTGTGTTAGTTTGACAGAGAAAAGAGTGGGTGAGTGAGCAGTTGGGCAGAACATTCTTCCATAACTATCTTATTTGTTCAGGCAGTAAGAAGAAAAACTGTTCCACTCAGTCATTTGCAACAGGGTTCATTATGTATGTGCACATATATATATATATATATATATATATATATATATATATATATATATATATATATTATATATATATATATGTGCTCAGATTTATCTTATGTTTAATTGTTATTTCCTTTGTTTGGGGGGGGTTGCAATTCTAAAGTATAGTAGAAGATTTTTACTTATGAATTAGATATACTTGTCATTTATTTGGCTCACAAATTCTTTGTTTTTGGTAAAGTAATGTTACACATTCAAACATCTTTATTGTTTCATTGTAAACATCATAAAAAATTTTCACATTTATTATCACTGAAATTCTATGCCCATTTAACAAATATATATATATATATATATATATATATATATTGCACATTTATCCTGTTATTTCTAACTACAAAACATTTTTTGATAAACAGCAAAAAAAAAAAAAAAAAAAAAAAGGAAAATGGGTGTTGGGGAATGCAGTTATGCATCATTCAATTTGAATCCCTTCATCTTTTTGTCTTTTTCAACATTTGATTTTTAAATTGTGTGGTGTCCATTCTCCTTTTTTTAGCACGCTCCTGGAGTACGTATGAATAACACTCTTCTTCACTCTGTATCTATCTATCTATCTTATCTATCTATCTATCTCTCAATCTATCTATCTATATAATGGCATGTTGCCTGAATTCCCCACTGAATTCAGAGAGGTGAAACTAAAAAAAAAAAAAAAAATTGAGGCCAAAGTATAGTTCTCTAATCCATAGTTTGCATGAAAAAAATCCTTTAGATTATACAGTCTGTTTTGTTTTTAGTTTCAGTTGCATGCAAGTTGCTATTTGTCTGTGTTTGTGAAAACAGCTATTTGTCATAAGATATCTCCTTAGATAGTAATCTCTCTGTGTACATATCTATCAGCCACTTTGTGAATATTTATTGTAGATGTTTTTAGTCCTTGTACTTTTTGAAGCATATGTTCATTGTTGTCTGTTGCTTTTCATTTTTGAATTTGTTTTATGTTATCTGCAATGTAATAGACTTCTTTGACATGACATCATACCAGAAACATATTTGTTTTGTAAGTTTCAGATTTGATTTAAAATATTTAATAGCTGGGTTCCTTTCCTGAAATCAAAGAAATTAAAAATAGAATTGTTTTTAAAATAAAAGCAAAATGTATTGTAAGGCTGTCAATTTTAGTTAGAAGTTTTATAATATGATTTCATGCAAAATAGTTAAATTGAAACCCGTTAAAAGTTGAACAGAAAGGAAATAATAATGAATAGAATGATTTTTATGTATATTTCTTTATTTCTCTCTCCATAATTGTTGCATTAAAGCCACATCCTGTGCAAGGGTCTTGTATACCCCCATCAAATCTATGATATACCCGCCCCACATTATAATTCTGATAAGGTCATATTCATATAAATTTTATTGTAACTTAATTATGTACAATAATGGATCATATAGGTGAGCAACTCAACTTGAAAAATTGAAAATAAATACAATTTGGAGATATGTCATAATAGATCATTTCATCTTAACTCAACAATATTTTGTGGTAATTTTTAACATCAACTGAAGATTTTTCTTGTTAAAAAGTTTCAGTACATAATTTCAATATATTCAACATTATGCATAAAAAATAATGAATTTTATAAAGTTTTTTTTTAACCTCTGACCTGAAGGTAAGCAACCAAATGACATAACCACTATGCTAGGATTCTGCTGCTTAAACGTCACAGTAAGATTAACTTCTTTAGGTAGATTTTCCAAATATTGTGCTGATCCATACATAAATAATCCTGTCATTTTTTATGGATACTATGCAAGTATACAAATTATTACAGACATTTATTTTCTTTTTTATTTGTATGCTAAATACATTTCCTTTCATTTTTTATACTGATATGATAATTTATAAAAGAGGTAACATCTTCCAGTTATATACAGAATTCTAAATACCTTAAAACACACACACACACATATATATATATATATATATATATATATAATTTCACCCCAAGCAAGGCAATGAAGCCACTAAGATGCAAGGGGGTTACTGAGTGTGAAAAATATGAGAAAAAGAAAAACATTATTAAGGAAAGAGAACAATAAAAAAACAGTAATTAAGACAGAAGATAACATTTGACATCGCATTTCAATTTTTGAAGAAAAGAAACAGGAAAGCAAGAAACTGGAAGAGTTCCACAAGTGATAAGTGTAAGAGAAGAAACTATTAACATAGAACTTACAGTTACATCTAGCGGCCATTTCAATTGTAAAATGATGAGACCTTGCCACTAACTTAGTACTGTGCTTAAATTCATAAAGTCTAGGTACCAAAGAGAAAAGCTCATCAGAACAATTACCATGAAAATATTTATAGAAAAGGCATTATAGTGGTGGGAATATGATAGAAGTAGAGATGCCTGGTCAGAACCAATAACGTTGCTGATTTTTCTTTGTATTTTATCAAGAATCTCTAAATATATAGAAGAAACACTAGACCAAATGTAACAGTAATATTCGATGCATGAACAAACAGTAAGATAGATTCTCTAGATGTGTGTGGTGGGTGTGATGGGTATTAGTTTGGAATGAGAAAAAGAAGAGCCAAGTTTAAATTCCATTTGAGTTCATTACGCACAAATAACCTTGGGAAAGGTATGAATCCAATTCTTCTCCCTGCCACCAGTCATGAGTTGAATATCATTATGGACTTATTCCTATAGCCTTGGTTAGCAATCAGTTTACCACAGAAAGAAATGGCAAGCTACTGCATGAAAACATTCTGCCTAGTCACATGAATTTATAGAGACATGATCATCCAAAAGTGTATTACATCTGGCTACAGAAATGGTGTGTTGAAGGTTTTTAAAATAGAATGACTCCAACTCAAATCCCAGATATACTAAATTCGCAAGGCTCAGAATAAACCCTACTATTTAGGAACGACAAAAACTACATCTTAAACAGACACTATAGACAATTTTTACACTCCCTTAATTGCACCAAATTTAAGAATATTAGAAAAATTAAATAAAAAAATTCATCAAATTTTCTTTGTTTGTAATTATCAGCAAAACATGTTTCAGATATATAATGTGTGTGTGCGTGAAATTTATAAAATTTATCTCACTGGTTGAAATTACAAAAATTATTAGAGATGATTTAAAAAAAAAAATATTAAAGAAAAAACACTTAAAACATATTTTAAGTTGATGTTTTATCTTTTTTTAAATCATTTAATCAAAAAATGAGATTGTGTTGGTAAGTATTTAAAGTGTCATACTAACTCATGTTTAATGTTTGTGGGATTAAAATTAAATATTTTATCTCTTTTCAAGTAAATATATCCTGAAATATGGATGGTTTTTGGGGGTTAAATGAAACAGTGAGTATATTTGAAACTAAGTTTGTTTCTCTTCTATGCCAGATGGGTTTATTTATAAGCTATATATATATATATATATATATATATATATATTTAATTTACTTACATGTAAATAATATTTTTTTTAAAATGACCCCAAAAAAATTGAGTTTTTATTTTTACCATGTACCTCTATTTTTATCTAACTGTAACTTTCCCATACAAATTCTAAATAAATACATTTAAAATAAACTTCCAAAAGTGTAGAAAACATCATTTTCATTAAATTAGAATTTATTCCATGATGTCATATAGTTACTTTCCTACATTTTAAAAAATGTCATTGTTTGTTCTGCTGTGCAATTTGTCTTTTGGATTTAAAATGTAACTTTCATTGTATTTTAGAATGCAAATGTTTTTAATCAAATATATTCAAGTTGGTATGAAAATGTTTCTTTATCATTTTTGGAAATACCTGGATTTATTTCTCACAAATCTGCTTATAATTTCTTTAGTAACAAATTAAAGCTGTTTTATTTACTTATACATAATTTTGTGCTTTCCATATAATGTTAATACAATTTTATTGAATAGAACAATGTCAAATGGAACGTACAATACTTTTTATGCATTTGTACAAATTTCAACTGAAAAATTACTTTAAAATTCATGTAAAGCAATGATTTTTTAAAAGAATTTATTTTTAACTTCACTTATTCTGAAGCATTAGCAAATATTTACTCAAAGCAAGGTAGTAAATGCACTAAGACAAAAGTGGTTACTGGGTGTGAAAGAATTAGAAAGCAGAAACATTACTAAGGAGTGAGAGGAATAGAAGAGTAATTAAGAAGACAGTAAATAACAATTGACATTGCATTTAAAGTTTTGAAGATCAAAATTGTCTGGAAAGCATGGAGCCAAAAGAAAGTTCCACAAGCAAGAAGTGCAAGAAGAGAAACTGTTAGTATAGAACTTATGGTTACATCAAGCCAATTCAACTCTAAATTGATGCGATCTTGCCACCAATCTAATACTGCGCTTAAATTCATAAAGTCCTGGTACCATAGTGAAGAGCTCTTCTGAACAACTATCATGAAAGTATTTATAGAAAAGGCACAGGGAAGCAACTTTATGGAAGTGGGAAAGTGTCTAAAGTAGAGATGCCCAGTCAGGACCAATAATATTGATGATGATTCTTTGGATTTTATCAAGAATTTTTAAATATATAGCAGGAGCACCAGACCATATATGGCAGTAATATTATAAGCATAGATGAATGGTAGATTTATAGATATGTAGGATAGTTTTCTGGAAAAAAACTGTCTAGCATGATACAGTGAACCAACTTTCTTAGCATTTGACCTAGCAATGCATTCAATATAGTCTTTCCACTTCATGTCAGCAGAGAATGTTATCCCGAGAAGGCACAGTCATTCTCCTGGGGGTCAGCATTATCCATGTTGATGGAACACAGAAAAGGGTCTCTCGGATGATTAACAGAGAGCAGGTTTGTTTTGCAGGCATTAATATGACAAAATAATGACAGAGCATATTTAATTGTCCAATTGAGGTGTAAACGGCACTACTTTATATAATTGATCACTGACAGTGGATGTGCATTGCATTGTAATGGATAAAAGCTCAAAATGAGAAATCTGAGAGCCAAATTTTAATTCCATTCCAGTTTGTTACATTCACTTACATGCTAATACCCTTCCTTGGGAAAAAGATGAATCTTCCCCCACCAGCTATGGATTGAACAGCAAGAAAGATGGGGTCCTATAGCCTTGCTTGGCAACCAGTCTATCGCAGAAAGAACCAGCAACCTACTGTGGGAAAATCTGCCTCGTCAGTCATGAATCAAAGAAACATGATTGCCCAAGCATGTATCACATATGGCACTTGACTTGAATAGGAAAAAAAAAAATCAACATTAATGATTTCTTTTGAAAATCTTTTATCAATGTTTATTTCATCTTAATTTCTTATAAATAACAAAGAAAATAAGAAGCACTATTTCCAGTTTATTTCGATGGGAAAATTTATAATCCTTTTAATGATATCCACTCAATTTATATTTTCAAACAAGATCTTTGAGGTTTTCTACTAGTGAAGGTTTTACATTAAAAATAAAAAAAAAACAAATATTATCTGATGATGAAACAAATAATCACATATGGCTAATGATGCTGAACATAATCCAAACAATGCTCTAATTGTGTTTTTATTTATTTGGCTTAAATACTTGACTATAATTATTTAAATGCATGCTTTTTCTTCTTTACTTTTGATTA